TCTTTACAGCAAAATGAATCACGTACACGGGCCTAGAGCCAGTAGATTTGTGTATTCACAAAAGAGAGTTATCAATTAAGAAAAAGAACAAGCTGTAGCCATTCAAATTTACAAATCTCCTCCTCTTTTCCTTGATAACGTAAAACTACGGACCACAGATTTAAACCATCAGAGAAATTTGACAGGAAGCACAATTAAGCCACCCTAAATCTAAACCACGTCACCTGATTTCTTGAACAATTTACTATATAAAATAAATTCTGCATTACTGTAATATTCTGGCTGATATAAATACCTGTATTTCCACTGATCCCATTTGGTGGTATTTGAGGACTAAATTAGCTCCTTTAACCAAATCTAATCAATGCTATAAATTTACAGTTTCAAAAGCTGAAGTTCATCAAGTCTCATTTACCATGTTTCTGCTCTTACAAAGCAAAAGCTATCCTGCCTGCTGATCATTCAGACCAAAGTTGTCTCTTCCCTTACACACTGGACTATGGGAACCACGTCTGACTGCAAACTCAAATGTCAACCCACTTTATTAATGCTCCAAATGCATTAAACCACCACATTAGAGTTCACAAATGCACTGACCATAGCATTGCTGATATGTGTTAAAAGCACAATGCTGCAATGTATCACATTAGCTGGGCAGTTAGTCGTCTTTGCACTCAACCGGTGCAGAAAAAGGGTCCCATTTTGAATGAAGTGACAAAACCTGGCAAAAAAGGCAAGATGGAGGAAAAAAGGGTTGTGGAGGAGAGCGCTCATGTTTATGATGGGTGATTATACTAAATTTGAGTATTTTAGCATGCATGCATGTGAATCACTGACAGTGACCTTGGTTCTCAAATCAATTTTACCCAGAGAGTATACTCTGTGATTATCTGGCTTGGATTCTGCTACACTGAAAACAGCTCAATGACATTTTACTGCTTTGCCGTGGGAAGACAGGCCCACATTGATTGCTACTCGTACTGTTTGTTGACCAGGTTTCACAGGATTTCATTACAGTTTAGCTGTTCAGCTGCAACGAAAAATGGCTGGTAAGGGAAATAAAGCATGATGCAGGATCTAAAAGCTGCAAAGCTGCGTAGGGAATATGCATAAAGAGTGATTTTACATTAGGCTTCCAAAAAAAAAACATGTTTGCACTTTTTCAAAGTGTTTTAAGAGAAAAATGAGAAATATTTGCTTTTTGTGTATGAAAATATCCAGGATACAACAAATGTAAAATTTATAAAATTATATTTTGGTTTTATACGCATTGTTTCAACAAGGCTATCACATAGATTACAGTATGGCATTGTATCAATAGCAAGGCTGTAGCTACATTTAGAGGCAGCAGGAACCAAATAGTCCAATAGCATGGTGAAAGAGTATACCATTACCTAGGGTGGTAAGTGAGCAACAAAAAGGAGGCACCTACAGACAACATTCTAGCTCTCATCTTGTTGAAAGTAATAGATTTGGACATCAAACTTTTTAATTTTTAAGGCAGTTACAGTAACAGTATATGACCACTTGCTCTTGTGTCAAGAAAGGCTAGAAATGACATTAGCGGGCTCATTAAATGTGTTTATTTTGAGTAAAATAAGTTGGTCTGTCTGTAGTGCGAGTTTTACTTTATCACTTGCAAGCAGCATCCAGTTTAACATTGAACCTGATGCATTAGATCAGATTACATCAAGGTGATCCACATAAAATAGCTAACAAAAACCACAAGGACAGAACCAATTAAAGCAACATTCAAGAGTTTGTAACACTTTAAGCTGTTGCTTTCAAACTGGTTTCAGTGGTTCTTGAGCCCGAAACTTGAGCAACTTCGCATTTGACAGCCATCTGTAGCTTTCTGCTGACCAGAAACAGTTTTGTGGTTCTGGTAAGAACACTAGTGGGAGATCTATACCTGCATTACAGCTGTAGCTGTTTACGGTTCTGGTAGCCAATATAAGGGCTAGCAGTTAGTTTCCTGTTTGCCAAACGTCAGTGAAAAGCACAACAAAACAGAGAAGAACAAGAGGTTTTCTTTTTTTTTTGTTGGCATCATGGTAGAGCCTGGAGGTAAGAAAGTTATGTTTTAGAAGTGAAGCAAAGAGTAAACATCAGCGTGACCTATACTCATTTGAGGTAGCTGAACAAGGGTATGAAATCATGAGGTGTTTCTCAATGTCAAGGTGCCTAGCCTTGCCTTGCTTACAAGGACACTGTCCTTTCTTGGTCAAAGAAAATGGTTAAGTGGAACAGACTTGCATCGCATGGCCGCAGCTTCCACGGCGGTCACGTAACGTCACGTGACATTGGAGATAATGTAATATTTTACACGTATTAGTTTCAATATAAATATATAACGAGCTTTTTAAGTTTTAAATTGTGTATATATTTGTTAAATTAAATATAGAAGTGAGTTACTACCCACTAGCCACTGAAGCTGCAACTAATAAGCAACTAACCAACCATAGATAACTTCTTTGGATCTAAAAAAACATCTTAATTTAGTTGACTTACATTTAAGCTTAAAATTTGCCCCTGAAGTAGCTGCCTGCTTCTTATCCGCCATCGTTTTGAAAATACCGCGGTGTGTTCTGGGTAATTTTTGACCGAGGCTAGGCTACAAGACACCTCCTGTGTATCCTTGCTCAGCTAGCTAAACGGGTAACAAACGGAGAACACACGCCTTGGTAGAACATAAACATTGGAACACGTCTCGGCGGCTCCTGATGACGTATCTCCTAGGCAACCGGGGCGGCGCCAAGACATCAAGGCGAGGTTCTTTGGCATTGAGAAATACCCTAGGACAGATGGTGACCTGGCTTTTTTGCTACTGGACTTGTAAGTATTCACATTTTTTGCCCAACAGTGCCAATCTTTTAAATTCTTGGCCTATTTAGTATCAGTTGGCTTGTATTAGCGTTAGCTCATTTTTTTTGTGCTAGCTATGGCAAGCTGGATTGTTTATGATTGTAGGGCTGTTTATGACTGTTGTAATTTTGCTTTCAACCAGTAGGAGGGAGAAGCACAAAATGTATTAAACTTTGCACTTTGTATTCAAATTGCATGACTTTTGCAATTGTTTGCAATGGTGTCATATACCCCATTTGACTTAACAGTTGGTGAAACGCATATGTGCCATATCTGTGTAATTCCAATTCAATATTAGCATTTTTTTTTATTCTGCATTTCCATCTAATCGCCAACAGTCACCTCCATGTGAGTTCCCAGTTTTTGTAAGTAGCACTGACACAGCCTAACAATTAGGCCAATTATTCTTTTATTTAGTAGATGCTTAAGATTTTTTTTAAATATTTGTTACCATTGAGATGTTCATGTATCCTGTAAAAAAAGACTTACATGTGTTATCATTGATTTCATTTTGGTAGAACCTTAACCCTCTGATGCATGAATTATGAGATCTTCAACCATGATTTTTTAAACAATTTTTTTCATCCATCTTTAGGTGTGAATGAAACAAATTTCAACAAATATTTTTGTAACATTTTGTTAATCTACAAATAATTTATTACATGTCCATTTCAGTGGACAGCATGCATTCTGAACATGAAATATGTTGGCTTGACTTACTGAAGTCCAAATGGAGGGGCTCACATGCAATAAAATCTTCAACAGCTGTGCTTAATAGCAAAAATAAAGAAATAACAATTTTGAGTACCTGTCCACTGCAGTGACCATTATGCATCAAAGGGTTAATATATAGTGTTTTTATTTCTTCTTTGCTTGTGTGAGAATAAAAGGAAAACAAGTGCAACTGTTGTGTAACTTAGCATCATGCAAACCTGTGCATTATGTGGATGTGGTATAATTAGCTGCATGTCTGCCTCGGGCTAAAATGACCCATGATCACATGAGGTACTGGAATTTATGTGGACGTAACCAAGATTGCATAACTTGTTGTTTGAGTTGTGATCCCAATGCAAGGCTGTGCAGGAGACAAGCACTTTTGAGAAGGTGACTGGCTTGGCTAGTGCTCGTCTCCCCTTGCGAGTCAAACTTACTTGCTGTGTCTGGTGTTTTCCTTACTCTGCTGATCTTTGTATTTAGGTGTTTACCTAGCATAACTTGGTCCTTCGAGCCGGATCGCAACATACCCAGGGTCCTGCATGGCAGAGCACGGAAGCTGAAGATTGCACAGCCTATGGTAGGGCCATAGACCAAAAGACTGATGAAGTAAATTCTGCGTCAGCCAGCTGCTACTGATTCGTTCCATTGAAAGGATTGACGTGATACGAATCTTTGTTAAGCTAACAGTTAGAATGACCGATGATCACATGAGGTACTGAAATGTATGTGGGTGTTTTGGTTCAAGTTGTGATCTTAGTAAAAGGCTGTGGAGGAGACAAGTAATTTGGCCAAGGTGACTTGGCTTGGCTAGTGCTCGTCTCCCCTTGCAAGACAAACTTAAGTACGGTGTCTGGTGATTTCCATACTCTGTTGTTCTTTGAATCTATATGTTTACCTAACAATCCTCAAAATGACCTAGTGCTCACTGTGTGCTGTTACACAAAATCCACCTATTGTTTAATTTTACCACACTTATCTTTACTGTCAGCACTGCACAAACATCTTATAACTCTTAATTATTAAGTCTAAAAAAAGGATATTTAACTTCCTTATTGATTTAATGTCAGGTCATTCATTTACTTTAAACCAGGCGCTAAAAGGTGTGCAAGACTGTTTCTCTATCCTAGCAACAGGAAATGTATCTTTGAAACAATCCAGAAAAGACCCTTAAATGGTTTAAAGTCAAACTTTCTTTCAAGTAATGGACAGGAGATAGGTTGGGATGGAAATAAACAACAGAGCAGAAGATTTCACAGTTATGGTGAGAAATAAAGACAACAAAATCAGTGTGTGTGTGTGTGTGTGTGTGTGTGTGTGTGTGTGTGTGTGTGTGTGTGTGTGTGTGTGCGCGTGTGTGTGTGTGTATGTGTGTGTGTGTGTGCGCGTGCGTGAGTGCGTGTGTGTGTGTGTTCACTCACCTGAGTGTGGAATGAGCGGATGCTCTGATTTGTGGCATGGTGATTCAGGCAGCAGGACTGGCCCTCGCCTGCCGGCCACGCCTCCGGGGTGCAGGACCAGCATGCACTGCAGCAGCAGCAGTGCATGCTGGACAACAGGGCGTCCCATGGGAGCCTGAGCTTGTCGTACTTTCTCCTTAGGCCTCAGAGGCCAAGAGGACACACCTGATGAGACAGAAGAAAGAAACTAAATTGTGATTTTTTACAGCATCTTCAAATATGCAAATTGTTTTATCCACAAAGCATTTATTTAAAAAGACAAAAATGTGCTAATGTGTGAAGGGAAGTGAGCAACAGAGAATGTGAGATAAAAATGAAAAAAATGTGTGGAGGGTTTTTGCTGAGCAGCAGGCAAAGTGCATGATCAAACTGGGTCTGCTTTACCTCCTTTACCTAAATTGTGCATGTGTGTAGGTGCACTGTAAAAAAAGACCTCCTTTCTGCTCGATAAAAGGTGACAGATTACATCAATATTTTAATTAGATTCAACTAGTTATAGATTTGAGTTCCATTTGATTAATTTTAACCATTTACAGTTACTTTTTTTAATTTCACATTTAAAGAGAGAATGACATTGAATTAAGTAGAATGTACTCAAATATATTAGTTAACAAGAAATCTAACTTTATAGAACTACTAATAAAAATTAATTAAGTTTTACTTAAATTTGCAACAAAATATATGTAATTTTTACTCAATAAAATGAAGGCAACATTTTACAATTTATATTAATTAGATTTGACAATGGTTGGAATTTAGTTTAATTTTATTAAATTTGATGTTTTAAAGTCATTTGTCTAATTTAAGTAAATTCTACACAAAAAAAGAAGAAGATGTAATTTTATTTTAAATATCAAACAATGTGTGTCCTTTAATATGTGAAATTATATGCCCTTTGAGAAGTTGAGCATTGTTGCATATAATGATAGAGTGCAGAAATAGCTTAGTTTTTCTTATTACTTTGTGTATGCAGCACTTTTTAGTTCTCTTTGTGGGTCAATTAAACTCTGTTTTCCTGCTATAAATCTGCAGCTTTTCCTCCCAATTCATAAGCAGATAAATGTGTTGATCATGTCACACATACAGAGGATTCTTGCTGCCAGGGAAAATGCAGCCGCTGCAAGGAAAACAAAGGAGTCTGCACAGTTGTTCATAATTTCTTTCATTGTGGGGGAGGATTGATGAGGTGCCTGGACCACCGACGTCATTAATTTTTAATCATTAATACCAGAATGATTCATGCTGTGAGCTGCAGAAGCGTGAGCTCCTGATTGTGCAGCACATCCTGAGCAGACTGAGTAAAGATACAGAAGATAACAACTTTAGTTTCTTAAAATGTATTGCAGCTGAAACTGCAGAACACTCTTTATGTTTGTATGTTTCACGTGAACATGGCTTTCATTTGTTGCTTAGTCTGAAGGGAAAATAAAATATAAAAACTGAACAATTCCTTCATTGTGATAGATTTGTGTGAATAGTAGGTTGCAAGAAGAAGAAAAAAAGATACTCATAATGTATTTGTTCTGTGGAAGCAGCAAAAGAAGAGATCCTCAGCATGCTGGGGGAGGGGGGAGGGGGGGGGGGGGGACTAGCAAAAATCAATCCTGATGTGAAAGAAAAGAAATATGTGAAGGAAGATTTGCTCTCCACAAGAAAACCTCATCTCCACTTTTGTCTTCAAGCTCTGAGCGGCTCTGAGGTGGAACGAGGAGTACTTCTCCCCTTCTTCCATGATGATGATGAGTTTATATTTCAATTTCTCTTGAATTTAACCCTTTGATGCATGAATTATGAAACATTCAACCATGATTTTTTAACAATTTTTTTCATCATCTTTAGGTGTGAATGAAACAAATTTCATATTTACATATTTTTTGTAACATTTAATTTACAAATAATTTATTATATGTCCACCTCAGTAAACCGCGTGCATTCTGAACATGAAATATGTTGGCTTGACTTACTGACGTCCAAATTGAGGGGTTCAAATGCAATAAAGTCTTCAACAGCTGTGCTTAATAGTAAAAATAAATAAATAACAATTTTGAGTACCTGTCCACTGTAGTGACCATTATGCATCAAAGGGTTAAAGTTTAATCTGCCTTTAGTGAGAAGTGACACAATCCTGCATGAAAGTCTTTCTAAGGTGGAAGCAGCAGGCCTTTTCTGTAAAGCACCTCACATCTATGAGCGTGAGTGACAGCCAGCATCTCGCTCGAGTCCTTTTCCCTTTTGTCTTTGTGGTTTCTTCGCTACTCTTTATGTTTCGCTTTTAGTCATTTCAAACATACATTTTTTTGTCTGCCAACTGCATCAACAGCCTTTAACCATTTCATTTCCCACCAAAAAGCTTGTTGAAGTCTTTTAGCGAGGACACTCTCCTCATCGTTTACTCCTTTATTCTTCCACGTCTGCATTAGAGAAATACCAGCTGGATGCAGAGGTGAGGCTGACTTGGGAAACAGGATTATGGGTGTTTTTACAGTCCTGCATTTGGGGTCAGAAGTTTGAGACTGTCCTGGTTTTGTCCATGTGCAAGTCTCTTAACACAGATTCACACATGCGAGTTAGCTGACAGGAGCTAAAGCCCAGGGGTCTCATTTATCAAACATTGCGTAGAATCCTTACTAAAACCGTACTTAAGCTCAGCAAAAAAAAAAAGTACTTACGCCAAGCAGGTTTGTGATCTATAAAACATGGAGTACGCACAGCTGCACGCAATCTCCGCTTCATGAAATCAGAAACTATCTAGAAAGGTTCTCAGCTGCTTTTTAGTCACATCCCGCCCTCACCACGCCCACTTACTGCCATAAATAGTCAATGCAAAGTGCCTTGTGGATCTCATGCACATACATAAGCCGGCTGTTGCAGCGCTCCGCCAATGACATGGCGACCGTAGATCAAGGCAGATCAAGGAAGTGCAATTTCACAGAAGCAGAAATTGAGGTACCTGTGGGTGAGGTGGAGAAATGAAAGGAAGTGCTTTTGCAAAACAAATAAGAGAAAATCCACGGAGTGGCACAGCGATGCTGAAGCCGTCAATGTTGTGAATTCTTCAGAGAGATCTGTGGCGGATATTAAAAAAATAGTCCGATCAGGATTCAATCCCCAGACTCCCGGGTAAAAGTCACATGCACTAACCAGTCAGCCAAACGGAGTTCTCCCCTGTACAAGTGGCCAGGGCGCATGATCAATCGGGTCACAGTGACAAGACACACACACGCACTGTCACAGACGCATGACATTCTGTCTCAATCTGTCCCCCTGCTGATATTCTGCATTCCGTTTTCTGCGCTTCAGGCTGTGTGTGTGTGTGTGTGTGTGTGTGTGTGTGCGCGTGTGTGTGTGCGTGTGTGTGTGTGCGCGTGTGTGTGTGCGCGTGTGTGTGCGTGCGTGCGTGCGTGTGGGGTCTTGTTCTGTGTGAAAACGATGCAGTACAAGTGATAATGCTGCAGGATTTTATAATTGTATCTTCTCAGCAGCAGCACTGCAGGTGCTCTCCATGTCCAAAATGTGCGTAAGCCAGGTCCTTAGTAAACTTAAAGTTGCGCACATTTTTCTGCTAAGTTTTCTTCCATAAATCCCAAAGTTTGAGTGGAAAGTCGCTTACGCAGTTTTCCGACCACGTTTTGTGCGTAAGCAAGCTTGATAAATGAGGCCCCAGGTCAGCAGGGCGAGTGTCCTCATATATTGCAACATTCAAACATGTGACATGAATTTTGGGGGACGTGCACAAATGACGCCTCAGAACAATGCAACTTACGCAAGGCAGCCATTTTAACCCTCTCACTGCCTTTAAGGGTGACCCCGTGAGGAAAGTTGACCATTGGGCAGGATTGATGGTTTATCCCTGATGAGGTGGTGCTCACTCCTCACCCCTGTCACATGGACCCAAGGGATAAACCATCAACCCTGCTCAATGTTCAACTTTCCTCGCGGGGTCACACCCATTAGGACAGTAGGAGAGTTAAACAAGCGTATGCTCCATTAAACAGCAAGTATATTGCTGACCATACAGCTACAATTATATTTGATTGGCTGTAATAATTGTACCCTTTAGTCTTACAGCTTTCATTCCTTCAATATTTCAATAAATCTGTTGTGGTCTTGTGAGTCGTTCTCTGTGGGTTATGGTTAGGCAGTGGGGCAGATATATGCACATCTCGCATCTGATTGGCTCACAGCAACACAACTCTTCCTCTGCCTCCATTTGCTCTGCAACGTTGATGTTTTATCTCCACAAATAACACAAGCCTGAAGAAGTTCTGCCATGTAATGGAGTTGCTAATGCTAACAGTTAGCTTCAACAAGCCGAGACGTGTGCTAAAAACCAATACAGCCTTCCCCATCGCCAGCCAAGGTGTGTGAATCCATGAATGTTAATTTTCAGGGTGATGTAGATCTGTGTGTCTTTTCTAATCCAAGAGTGCCATAATCTGGTAATGCAGGAAATAGGGAGTAAAAGACTTTTTTCACCTTTGACCTGCATGTGAAACTCAGAGTGACTGATCATATTACAAAAATTACAAGTAAAAAAAAGTTTCTCAGTGAAATAGCTCTTCAATTATGTTATTTTTAATAACTTTTTTATATCTTCATATTAGGAAAATGTCCCATTCATTTGAATGAAGGGGGCTAGGTTTTCAACCCAAAGTGCAGCCAGCCACTATAGGGTGTATTTATGTTTCAACTTTAACTTCCTGGTTGTGCTCTCATGTCCTTTTAGGTTTAAATATACTACAAATACAGTCTATAACTCAGCCAAACTGGGGACAAATTAGATCAGAAACTGAGTTTGTCTTCTTCAAATGTTCACAAACTGTCTGTTTGTGACGACGATGCCGGAGCGAGCTCTGTCCCTGCAGATTTGTGACCATACTTGGTAGCAGAAAAGGCCAGATTTAAGGATAGCGAGCAGTCATGTTTACACTGAAGTACTTCTGGTGTCCTTGTCCCATTCAAATAAGTGCGAAAAAGTGGTTGTCTTGGAATTCCAAACTGAGCGTGCAGCTGCCACGGTGATGGATGGACTTTACTGCCTCAGAGAGCTCCTTGTGGGTGTACTGAAAGTGCACAGGTCAGAGCCTTCTGTTGCAATAAATACACACCCTTCGGGTAGGGCTGCTAAATTAATCGAATTTTAATCCCAATTACGATCTGAGTTC